CATCGAGTTTAGACTAGAAGACTGGACGATAAGACCTCCATAGAAAAAATAAATCATGGTTCCGGGTTGTTTCTCATAGTCTCGAAAGAGGGACTAAAATAACCTCTCAGTGCCTCTTGATTCTTAGTGAATTTTCACCTTATGTCAAGTTAAGAGAAAAATTACATCATTTAGTTTGTCGTTCATATATAATACAGGTGCAAACGTGCATAAGCCCAAGTTGTTTTACTACATCAGTATATTAAATGAAAATTAACAGGATATGCATCACATAATTAGGGGTATGAATATGCTTATAATAGAAAAATATACTTCAAAAAGAGAGAGTAAAATAGGGGAATTTAGAAGTACGAAACACTATTAGGAAAAACGATAAAGGACGAATCCATAGAAAAATTTGAAAAATAGTGTGCCATTCAATATCTGAAACCACTAAGGTTAGAAACAATAGAGACAAAGTTTTGACAGTGAATTTTTGTTATTTATAATGGTCATTAATACAAAATCCACCTGCAAATTGACAAGAACTTTCAAATTACGCTAGATATTAGATTCCTCATTGGTTTATTTATGTAGTAAAATGGATTGTTGTTTAGTAATCAGTATTATGGAAATGGTTTGCTCAATTTATTAAATAATTTATTTTCGACTTCATAGATTCACATAATTAACAACGAAAGGAATTAATGCCACTTTTATTCAGCAGAGATCTAAATTGTTTATCTGAAAGATCATAGATAAGCTGCCAACTTGAGCTACCTTAATGTGTATAATTCAATTCACATATTTTTGTAGAGGAGTTTATATTGGCTGCACAAAGTGTGAAGCTTTTGAATGGATTTCTGAGCTCCACCCTCCTTAGCTATCTAAGTTGAACAGAAATCGGTCACTAGCTCAATCCTTGAACGTTTGGTTACCTCTAGTAGCATACCTCTACCTTTATATTTTAATATAGGCTATGATATGTCAAAGTCAACTACAAATACTATTATTTAGGTTCAGTAAATAACTTCATCGAGCGAAAATTCTATTCTCTGAACAGTCTTTCGTTTGTTTAATTCACTTAGTTGTTATAATTTTAAAATTTATCAGGCGACACTCTGTTCATTTTTAAAGAATCAATAAAACTTTGGCTTTTCAATGCTATACGTAAAGTTCAGTAAATTACTATAGGATCCTGTTCTCTTCTTTATTAATGCTAGTCATAGCTATTGTGAAATTACTGATTATATTACTGTACAAGGTGGCGACTACATCTAGTGGTTCTGTTATTATTCAAAACCATGTTGAAGTTGCTAATAAACTGTTAACAAATTTCATAGTACACCTTGCCAGAAAAGCTTCCAAATATTGATAAACTAAAACAGTTATATGATACATGGTAGTTGTTTAAAACTTATCGTTTAGGAGTCACGGTCTTGTGCTGACAGATGGTCACTAAAAAATATCGGAAACATTTGAGGGACTGATAATAGCCGTTGGTTCGAAACCTCACTACTTGGTGTCGCAATTAGAAATCAGTTATTCTCTAAGATTCAGATATTCACCCTAATTGATCATTGTATATTAGACAACTTTATATTGTCTCGTTTTACGTATTGATCCATTTCCAGTGATCATGTTTGCAGTATGATGGATAAATTAAATGATTTGATCTGCTGCTTCACTTAGTTTAGAGTGGTGAACGCCTTCAAGATAGTTATTGAGTCTCAGACGTAACAAAACTTAGGTCCACGACTTTTTTCTGACTACTCTCAACCACAAAACATCAAAAAGGAGTGCCTAAATGTCTAGTCACTTTGTCTGTTGACCAAAATTTAAGCTTGATCTGAGAGACTTCGGTAGTAGGCAGTACAGATTTAGTCAATTCAAAATCATCAATAAATGTCGTGTTGTCTAGATTCATTTCAAGAGTGATACAGGGAAAGTATGAAGGTTTTTAGCTAGACAATCATTATGTGGTTACAAACAATCAATGAATGTCAGCTAACAGTTTTATAAAATATGTCTATTCATAACGTTTTTTTGTGAAAAATAATTTACAGAAGTTACTCAGATAGTTGCAAATATCACTGATGAAGTTGAATAATATCCACTTGAGTTCTTAAACTATTTATAAACTTCTGTGAGGTTACAGATAAACCCTGATGATTACAAACTAATTTAAAATTTAGGTTTTAGACTTTCTATTAATTGGCACTCACTATTATATACATTCACTGCCTGCTCCAAAACAATACACGTAAAAGAATGCTTTATTCTACATGTAATAATATAATCTATAAATAGTAGGTTATTTCCATTTGTTTAGTTAATTGCCTAGGTTTTTAAGATAAAATCACATCTATTTAGTTGCCTTGCTGCATAATTATTTCTTCAGAAATGTTTGCAAGTATGGATATACTCATTCCTTCTGATAAGGTGATAATGTTACAAGACTCTAATTTGTTTTTTTCTAAAATCTGAAACACAACCTTCCCATCATTATTGCTTATTCTGACTGAAATCAAACAACTATCCATATTTCCCTGCTATTCCCTACTCTGATAATACACACATATATGTGTATATGTAAGCGTGTTTGGAAATAATGTGTACCACCGGTTATTAAATGAACAGTATTGGTTTAAGCACAGTTCAAAATGTAACACTATTTGCAACATATGGTAAATAGTAGTTATTTTATTTGCGTCCGTTCACTAATAGCTAATTGATTCGTTATGAATAAAACATGGCAGTGTTGTTGACTATGATAACGGTGTTGGTAAAGAAGAATAATTATTCTATTCCTTTGGAAATTAAGACAAATTGTAATTTGTATGAATATTAAATAGTTACATTTGTGTCTATTCGATATATATATATATATATATATATATATATATATATATATATATATATATATATATATACTTGTAGTTGTTAATATATTAATTTGTAGAATAAAATAATGCATGATACACAAGACATGGGCCATTGAAAGTTCACATAAACTAATTCAAGTTATGTACCGAATTGTTTTACCCCAATTAGATATTAGATATTCTTCGTTTACGTGAAGTATAATTGATTAGTGTTATAGACATCAGTCAATTACCTTTCCCTCTTTAGGTACTGATGAATCATTATAATTCATTGTCTTTCTTAGATTTCGGTGTTCACAGAAATATATGTGGCTTACTTCAGGGTGCAATTTAGATTTCTGAGATTTTAAATAGTTATTAACCGTCATCCTTTTTAATATCAATTATTAAGAGCTAAATTATTAGATTTTCAAAAAATGGTTACTGTTGTCTATAAGTTTTATGATGAGGGTTTATTTACAATGTTATTTTGTAACGCTTCCAAGTGTACATTGACTAAACACTTTGTATTACCAAATGTTGTATTGTCTCATTCTGGTCGAATCCTGTTTATTTGGGGCCCAAATAATGTGTTAGTAAAGACCCTAGTTACAACATTTTGTCATACAGTTTCAAATCCCGTTGGTATATTCAGCTTTTTAAAGGGCAGGAATAAGTCTAGATTAGGATTGCCAACTGGTACAAAACTTCGGTTTATGATTTCCTGCTAACTACCTTCAACCATCTAACTTCAACCATGTCTATGAAAACGACCCATTTGGATATCACAAAAAATGAATTTATTAACAACCAAAAAACTTTGTGTAGACTATTTTACACAGCTTTTATGCCAGTACTCTTGGTGGATGTCTGTAGGAAAGTGGGATTAATTTAAATCGTGTAATAAACAAGCTTTCGAAGCAGACTTTTAAAAAATCGCAACAGAATACTGCATTATCAGGTTGTATGCGCTGATGTTTCATAATGAACACGGAATTTAATAGCTGACATTTTGATGCTTTAGTTAAATTATGATTCAATGTGATTAACGATCAGGTATTTTGAATATAATCTACTGATACCTTTAATAATCCTAAATGTATGTCATTCAATCATTATTCATATAGTGACGAATTATCAATATCAATTGAAAGACCTTAAATATATAATTAAATTTAAGTAACGTTGAGTAACGTAGGAAATTTAACCACTCTGCATTATTTCACCGTATAATTTTTATTTGTTTCATGGACAGAAATAACTACCTCCTCACAGTTATTATGAGTCAGTAACACAGTTTATCAGCGAAGCTCAATCAGTTATAAAATAACAAAGATGATCCGTTCAATTAATACTGGGAAAAGTTCACCATATTAACAGTTAGAAGTAAGATTTGTGGTCTATTTTTGTAAACGTAAAACAGTGTAAACAGTAAGTTTGACAACACAGAACATAGCATTTCGAAACAGATCAACCATTTTTATAATTTAAGAGTAATATATATTTTCCAGACTGCATCTACTGCAAACCAGAGATTACTGATCCGCCGTACCATTCTAGTATGGAAACCTTCAGGAGCGTGGATCCGTAGGCCTACTAAGGATCGAAACCAGAGCCCTTGGGTTACATTGAGAACTGTTAGATTCAAGACCACCGACCCAGTATCTAGTAGCTAACGTTGACATTGAAAGACGGTTGAGTAATACTACGAATATATTAAAGTCAAAGATGCTAACCAATAGGTGCCGAGCTAACGGTCTAGTGGTTAAAAGCCCTTCGTGATACCTGAACGTCCTTTGTTCAATCTCCAACGGGGCATTAGATAGGCAATGCTGAGCAGTCTTGTATTACGAAGAAATAAATTACTAGTACTTCCCGGTTCTCATTGGATTAGTACGTGATATAGTCCACAAAATCCAACAGTCTACACAAGCACCTACAGTAATCAGTAATATCTTTATTTAATTGATATATTTCTAGCATAAATTTCAGTTATGAGCATGTCGTGTATAGAACTACTGAGAAATACGTACCAGGAAACTCAGTATTAGACGTCAAAGATGGATCACTGGGTACTTTACATTTCATTTTATACTACTTATTATATTGACAGTAGTTAAAAATAGTTGTCCATATAAGTAAAGGAAATGAACTTACGTGCTGAGAATTTCTTCCGAAATTTGTATTCCTGTTTCCCCGAAGGATAACTGGGTTATTTGCTTCCTTACTCATACTGGTTTTCATAATCTGAGTGTTATTTAGGCTCTCTGAGTTTAAAGAAAATTCATGTTTACATTTTTGTGAACTGACAGATGAGGTAGGTATCGTTACTCGTCTACGTAATTCGCCAGATATGTTATTGTTCGTTATATTGGAGTTTGTGCTCTCCTTAATTATAGAAACAGATGTGGATTTTGGCTACACGTGAAAAAAAAGCCATTGAAAAATGGAGTAAGTTTAGGCATTGCTATTCATTAATATTACCTTTCTATTACTGAAAAGAGTTTCAATAAACATAAAAGTTGTATACAACATTCTCGGGTTTGTTTGTCCAAAACCGGTATTCACTTAATAAAAAAGAAACAAATATTCTGTATTTAAGTCTTTTTTCATATTATTTCTTTAGAACAGCACTGTTTTAGCAAAACATAGCTAGACAAATCATGTCGGTGAATGAATTGAGAGAAAAACGCTGTCTTGCGAGCTACTAAATTACGTTTAGTTAAATTGATCATTACCGAATTGTTGTGTCAAAATCTTGTAAAGTTGGTTGTAGCTAAATAATATAGTTTCCCTTAAAAACCATCATCACTTGAAGAGAGAGTAAATGCTGAAGGTTATGCATATGAACCTTTGGACTTATGGGATTTTCATGAACATATTGCTAAAGAATCATTTGATGAATTGCATATAAAAACAAATAAAAACAATCTAATGAATTAACTTTGACGTCACCATCAATCTCGAATATTGTCCCATGTATTAAAGAGAAAATAATGCCAAATGAATACTAATTTCAATTGATTCATAACACTAATGAAGAATCAGAATGTTCATACACAATATAGAAAAGTTGAAATCACCTGATTATATGCACTGGATTGAGAAGTGTGTTCATTTTCTAATGTACTGTTGCTGTGTAAATGTTTTATATGATTCACCGGTGATGAGATTGATACATTGTGGTTAATATTTGTGCTACCTTGATTTCGCGAATTATATGAATCTGACAGAGATTTCGTCTCATTTAAATCAGAGCGACATTGATATTGATTTACTGTTTCAGTTGGTTTATATTGTTGGTTGGTATTACCTGATATAAAAATGTAGTCATGCAACATAAAACTTTGAATAGAAGTAAATGAAGACAAGAAATACTAATAACTTGATTAGGTTACAGAGAATTATTGTTATTGGTTAGTTTGACACTGTAAATGCAGCTTAATTGAATTCTATGAGATATTATCTACTTTATTTATTTATTTATTCATTCAGATAATGACTATGCAGTGTTTCCATTAATGATATTAGTTAAGATTTCATCGAGTTGATGAATAACTTCCTCATTTCTATTTTGATTAATTCAATTATTCCAAATGGTTCTACAATACGCTTGAACCACAAAACATATGTTAAAATATTCCTCAATTGGAATATAATGGTTCTTGGTTAAAAAAAAATAATCTAGGAAATATTACTTGACACTAGTTTTGATTATAAATCAGTTTGATGACAGGTTTAATGGATATATCCATTATATGGCAACTTATAATAGCAACTTGCTGATCATTTCACTGCATTTAAAGTAGATCTAGAAGATTAAGCTGAAGGTTGACAACTCAGTAACTTCACCGTTAAAAGCAGAGTTACCTCCATTAGTATGTTTATAAGCAAGTTACCACAACTGAATAGGGCAAACTACCTTAGTGACTGCCAGTTCTTACCTTAGGTAATGGTTCTGTACAAGCCCTTTAATGAAAAAAAGTGTTTTAAATACGACGTAATATTTGTTAAACACTCCGTTCAAAGTCAGGTATCAATTAATCGGCATAAATTCCACGTTTGGGTTAGATAAGTCTGTATAAGGAATCAGGAATATGACTACATCTTCAGGTATGGTGAAAGATGAACATTTGCTCAATATATTACGAAACAAACTTGAAGCATTTCTGGTTTTAATCGCTTTACTGTTCATGAGTTTCAAAAATTATTGGTCCTTGCAAATGCGCATATTACTAAGAAAAAGGAATAGACTTAATCCACACCTCAATTGCAAAATATTATTTTTATTTGTTGTGCTGTTCTGAGTGTAATTACATGAGACATTTATATGGCTGTATGTACCATTATGTAAAATACTATGTCAGCTTGATTGAACGAACCTCTTACTTTTAGGTTGTGGCTTTCGAAGTTCATTTCAGATCGATACACCAATGCTACAATTCATGTTCTTCATATAAAGGTATTTGGCCAAACAATCTTTGAAATGTAGAAAGTTTTCAAATCACATAGCATATAGTTCATTTACTATAAAAGTAATTTTAATAACCCACTGTTTAGTGACCAACTTGAGGAAGGTATTCGCCAGCATTTCTACCAGTTTTCATGCTGATAACGGCTTATTATGTTTGAAATAGAAGAACTAATGACGGTATACTATAAATTTCAGAAGAAATTTACGATAAACAATCTCTGTATATATTATGCCCTTACAGTAAAGTTGATTGATAGGTAAAAGGCTCAGCTATAATATTTCTGACTGATTAATCAAACAAATGAAATCCTTGTCTTGTGATTTCCAAGATTTACCATCGGGTTAACAGCGTACCAATAGAGCTTGCCAAAAATTTACAAAGTTTAGATTGCAGTATCTCTTACTAAACTTAATATACCATTCAGAAACAATTAATACAAATCAATTAAATTTAAATTTAATTCCAGCAAAATAGTTTCTAATCCTGTTTTTTTTTAAAAAAAACTCACTTAGTTTTGGATCGTGACAGCCAACTCTATTGATATTTTGATTAATCAGATCGGTTTTGGATTTGTTTTCAGAAGTATTTTCATGATTCAATTCTTTCTTTGAAGCCTAACCAGAGAGTGAAGAATATCAGATTATTTGAAAATTTGCAAAGTATCATGTATAAAATAAAATATAACATGACAATAATGTTGTTCTTATAATTTTAATGTTTTCCAACCTTGAGTAATTATTTATAGGGAATTTAGACTCAGTTTTCTGGTTATTTCCATAAAACAATTCAAGTTGATATAAACAAAATAAATGGATGAGCCATTTTTTAAAGAACTAGAATTACTATACAGGTGATTGCCTATTTGTCTCTGCTAATCGTACCATAAAATTTGCAAAGGTATTTTCTGGTGAGATCTGCATCAAGTGAATATGTTTTTCGTTAATTAGACCGAAGAAAACCATTGAAAATAAAATAAAAGTGAATAGCTGTTATGTTCCGGATTGGACAGGCACTATTGATGAGTTAGAAATTATGTAACTAGAAAATATTTAGCAATTATAAGCTATTATCTGTTTGAAGTATTAGCGATCTGGTCAATAGTTTATTAAGCTTTATCTGTATAAATTTTAAATTAGTTCGTTCTTCTTTAAGTTCTCCGTTCCTCTATTAAAACTAACTGCTGATATTAATTAAATGTCAGTACTTCTAATGATCAAATCCAGTATTTAAGAGAACGCTTTTATTACCGTCTTTAAGGATTATATAACATGCCCACAGTATTATAAACTAAAAATTTTCATGAGATCACCATGGGAAACCTGGAAGCACTGGATGGCCGGTTCGTCCTAGTATGGGACTCCTCAGCAGTGCGCATCCACGATCCCGTTCTCAGGATTCTGACTCAGGACCTTCGGTCTTACGCAAGAACGCCTAACCTCCAGACCACTGAGCTAATTGTAAGAATAGAAAGGCAACTCGCTTGAGAAAACATTCGGAACCAAAAAACGAACGAACCAATGAAGTTCCAGTTGTTTTGTTTTCATTCAGTTCAACTGAACACAGCATTTTTCGCATTTTATGTTGAGCTTTCTTTTCCACTATAATCTACAGAAAATAGAATCGTATTTGAAAAATAAAACTGATTACTAATCTTAACACATAACATAACACATGACTGATTTATCGTCGTTCGGATTACTAAATTTTCTAATGGGCAATTTACCGAATTCATTCATTAGTTGGTTATGCCCAATAAAAATTACAGCTATTAAAAATGAAATCAGTAGAAATGTAAACAAGGATCAGAAGGTTGTAAATATAATGTTAATTCTGATTGCCTCAAGACTCATTATTAGAAATTTCTTTCACGTCGTTTATAAATAACCAAATATTCTCAAATAAAATTACATCGATAAACATTGATAGCATTTGTGATAATAAACGAGGCGGCCTGCTTGGATATCTGGGCTACCTGTTCCTCCGATCTAGATATTTCATCAAGTTATCTGTTTTATTGTTTGTTTTAGCACATCATTATGTCTATTGTGCGCACAATTTATTCAGGCGCGTTTATGAAAAGTTTACAACCTTTCGCTCCACGGGATACAAAAAGGTACAATCAGCGACATCATGGTAGCCGGCAATATGCATTGAAACGAATGAACATTAATCAAATGTGGATTACCGAACTTCTAACATCTAACTGGTCATCATTCAAAATTTATCGTCACAATCGATCAAGGTATAAGAAAAGGAAACTTGTTGAAATACTTTATGCTGAGAATTCTATGTTGTACCAAAAATATAATGTTGAATAAAGCTAATAATAATAATAATAATAATAATAATAATAATAATAATAATAATAATAATAATAATAGAAGAAAAATACCTTAAGGTAAGGAAACAATTAAGAGAAGTCTAGATAATGCGATTCGATACAATGTAGGTAAGGTTTGAATAATTGGCAAATTGTTGTTATAGGTCTGAATGTAAAATAACTGTAACTGAGTAGATTAAATTCATTTCAACTGGATTCACTTATGTCGTTTAGCCTTAAAGCACCACTGTAACGATATTTATAGCGGGAAATATCTTTTATTTTCCGCATAATGATTATTTTATCATTGGTAGTATGTCTTCACAAACAAATATGAAGCTTTTTAGTAATAATACCATTTCGAAATCAACTTGATAATACTGAAATTCCATGCTTACTATAAAAACCTCTAAAGCGTCGATTAGGACACAATTAGCTCAAATTCTCGGTTTAAACACCCAAGCACACAGTTTTTTCCTTCATTTGACACAATTTTGATAAGTGATTATTTTGTGACAACTACAGATGGTAATTTAAACAGAAAACAGTTACTCATAAGTATTTCTGAGTACTGTAAAATGTACAAAAAATTTTCGATCCAATAAATTTAAAAACTCCATGTTAATTATTATTACAGAATAAAGATGAAGAATAATCGTTGTTTGAATTACCTCATATAATTTTTGACGATAATCTGATACGCTTAATTGTTTGTCATCTCTTAGAATTGGGGTAACTGGATGTTTCAATACGATTTCAGATGAAGGATCACGAAAGCTGTTTGATGAAGTTGCATATGTGTAAACATATGTATGGAGAGAGAGAGAGCATGAAACAAATGAACATTGAATCATCTAATTTGTACATTAATATTTTATAATTTTTACTACTGGAAAACCACTTAAAATTAGGTAGTACCAAAAAATGTTTTATCTTAGTTGGTTTTCACTATAGTCAAATGAAATAAATCAATCAAAAATTTGAATCCTTCCAAATTACATGAATGCATTTTTTTAAAAATATAAACCATAGTTTGAAACATTTGGGGGCTATATTACAAAGTCAGATCTGGAACTTTCAAACCTATTAAAAAACAGAGGTATAGTAAATTTTTAAAGAATAGCAATTAGATGAAGTAGTTAAGAGAATTAATTAATGCCTGATACTTACTTTTCCACGTAACTATGATTTAATGCTTGTTCAACAGTGAAGCGTTTCTCTGGATTCAACTGAATCATATTTTCAAGTAAATTTAAAGCTTGTTCTTCTGTATTATTTGAAAATAACGTACGTAAGCGACGATATGGTCTATAAAAGAAAACAAAGCAAGAGAAAAATTGTAAACAAATAATAATAATCAATTTACATTTATTATGTATGATGTATTATTACTGATGGTGCCGAAAGCTTCCCTTAAACATGTCTAACTTTTATCATCAATTCCTTGTCTTAAGAAACCTCTCGTTTTGCCCTTGTGTTACTAAATTTTCCTGTTGCATAAATATCGTAATTTCGTTAATATACAGGTCTAATAATACTTCACAACGAGAATCAAGTTATTAAAAACCATATGTTGGAAAGACAGTTCAATAGAATTTACACTCAATATTCAATAGAGAACAGTTAAAGTTAGAATAAACAGCTAATACCTGATTGATTACATTTTCAAAAAAAACTAATAAACATTATAAGCAAAGGTGGATAGTGGCTAGGAGTGGAATCCAAGATGCACGAGCGAGTGGCAATCAGGACTCAGTAGCTAAGTGGATAACGCGATGACGTTTGAAGCGAACGGTACTGGGTTCGAGCCCCAGCGTGAACATCAACTCAGATGCAGGTACATCCAGCTGACGAAACCCCAGGTTGGACGAAATGCGCGTCCTGGATTCCACTACTAGCCATTATCCACCTTTACTTATAATGCTTGTAAATTAAGGCAAGATCAAGGAAATACGCACAGTATGCACATTAACCAATAAGAGACTGATCAATTTCAGTCATAACCATTAATGCGAAGGTTCAAGTAAAACAATACCAAGTGAACTAAACTAATAAACACTTTTTATCAATGGCTTTTTGGGCTATTGACAAGCAATTTAAAACGTTTTATCTCTATAAAACCTATAACTTTCCAAAGCGAATTACTTAAGATAGAAAAAAAATTAGTCTGTTATATTTTTGCAGTAAATTTGTAGCTCATTGTTAAAAACATTTAATTGAACACCACTAAGTTATAACTTCAAGAACAACACTTGTTTGTCGACATTAATCATCTATTATTGTTCATCACAGTTGTCATCAATAGCTTGGTACACAACCGTATTTTTGCGAAGAATCGTTTTTAAAAGCAATTCTTTGGATTTTATTTGACGATGAAAAATCATACTCCATTGAAAGATATTTCAAGTACTTGAATTTATCAGCGGTACATAAAAAATACTTAGGGGTTATGAAAAAATTACCTCAAAGAAGATGAGAAAAACATTTATACCATGAGCTGCGAATATTTGTCAGAATATCATAATATAGTGACTGCTCGGAAAATTTCCGTTAAACTGAATCAACAAAGAATATAACTAGTTTACAATGATGATTTTGGAAGGAAAATGATATCTTATTCAACCTAGTGACACTATGCTATTATTAGCTTACTTCTGTAAAGCTTTATCCAACACTGATCTACCGTAGTCTGAATGAAGGCATTCAATGTCTGTAAAATAAAAGAGTAGAGTAGAGATAACTACTTACTTAATGTATCACATAAAAGCAAAAACCAATTAAGTATAATAATAATGGTCATATAGTAGAAAAAATGCAAGTCAACTACACGCAATATGGTTAAAAACATATCAGAATTATTTCTTTCTCCCTTTGATACTATCGATAACATTAATTGGAAAATATGTTACGAGTTATTTGCTAGAATACACTAAATATTCTTCCAACTATGAAATAATCACTGGTATATCTCGATGTTTCACGAAGAAATTTGTTCATTTAAATTACCAGTGGAACATTACTTACTTACTTACTTACTTACTTACGCCTGTTACTCCTCGTGAAGGAACATAGGCCGCTCACCAGCATTCGCCATCCAACCCTGTCTTGGGCACTCCTTTCCAGCTCTTTCCAGTTGTTATTCATCCTTTTCATATCTGCTTCTATTTCCCAACGTAATGTGTTCTTTGGCCTTCCTCTTTTCCGCCTTCCTTCAGGATTCCAAGTTAGGGCTTGTCTCGTGATGGAGTTTGACGATTTGCGTAATGTATGTCCTATCCATTTCCATCGTCTTTTCCTAATTTCTTCTTCAGCTGGAAGCTGGTTTGTTCTCTCACACAAAAGGCTGTTGCTGATAGTATCCGGCCAATGGATGTTGAGTATCTTGCGTAGACAACCATGTATAAATACTTGCACCTTCTTGATGGTGGTTGTTGTAATTCTCCAAGTTTCAGCTCCATACAGTAGAACTGTCTTGACATTCGTGTTGAAGATTCTCACTTTGATATTGGTTGAAAGTTGTTTTGAGTTCCATATGTTCTTCAACTGCAGGAATGCTGTCCTTGATTTGCCAATCCTCGCCTTTATGTCTGCATCTGAACCTCCTTGTTCATCGATGATGCTTCCCAGATATGTGAAGGATTCTATATCTTCCAGAGTTTCGCTATCAAGAGAGATAGGACTGCTGTTCTTCGTTTTGAATATGAGAACCTTGATTTTCTCCTTGTGTATGCTGAGGCCTACTGATGCAGAGACTGCTGCTACACTGGCTGTCTTTGCCTGCATTCGTTCGTGTGTATGCGATAGGAGGGCTGGGTCATCTGAGAAGTCCAAATCGTCTAATTGGTTCTGAGCTGTCCATTGTATTCCGTGTTTTCCTTCAGATGTCGAGGTCTTCATAATCCAGTCGACCACCAGAAGAAGGAGGAAGGAAGAGAGTAGACAGCCTTGTCTGACTCCGGTCCTTACTTGGAATGCATCTGTCAGCTGTCCTCCATGCACGACCTTGCACTGTTGTCTATCATATGAGTAGTTGCACATTCATAAATGTTGATTTTCTCAAATTCTCTTATTTGTTGCACTAGATGACGTACAGTTACTCATTGTTTTACTGAGATGCTTGAATTACATCATTTGGATAAGATTTTATGAAAACAGGATATCTCAATTCCAATTATAAATTGAATGTTGATAAATAAATTAAGTTAGCAACTTTTCGGTGAATAGTTATGTGCTCTCTCATTCCTACTATTGGTCACCTATTTAATCAAAGTTAACCGATAATTGACAAGATTTACTTGAGACTTCACTCAGTTAGTCAGTCAGCTACAACGTAGGACCAGGCAAATAAACGCATCGCTCCAAGTTGCCATACCTCATTAGCACAACAAGATGAACACCATATTCATAGAAGCATTACTTCACTGGTAGTAAAAGAACATTCCATATAAGGATATGATACAGGAAGAAAGAATAAGTTCGTAGAAAGAAAGGTACAAAGTAATTTTAATCTCATGATTTAAGGGAAAGCTTATGAAGAGATAATTCTGCTTCGAAGAACTGGAAACATCTAGCCACAATCTGAGAACTCATCGACTACGAATGTGTCATGAACAATCCATCGTAGAATTGCATCATAAAATTATATTACAGTTTTCATGGATAGAATGTGAGTAACACTGTGAGTCGTACACCATAATATTGGTTACTACGATGTGATTCAAGAAAGTTTCCTAGTTAACATTTATTGCTGATGTAGCATTTTGTAACAGGTGGGACTCCACCAAGATTAAACACCAAGTTCACATCTGAATTGTCGTTCGATGACCAAATGTTCTACGGAATCTGGTCCAACAACGAGTAAGCTGTGAAATCAGTTTATGGAAAACTTCACTAATTTATATCAACAGTAGAAAACCTTTGGTCAAGTGATTTATTTCAACTGGTTTTAGACATATAATATCAAATTAAGCAAATTGTTCTTGTCAAACGTTTGCCAACTGGTCATTACTTCGAGTTTTGAAGCCGATACAATTTTTTCCAATCTTCAATAATATGTAAGTAAAGACGTTGACCCCATTGTCTATTATATTATGACTATTGATACAATTTATACAAGGGTTGTAAAAGATTACATAAACGGATTTAATTATATTTACTTCAACAATTTTTAGTTAGTTAGATCATTACTAACTGGATAGAAAGTGGATAATATCCCCTAAATTATCAGGTTTTGAAATCGGAATTAAGATACAAAGCGTTAGTCAAAAGTACTGACAAAATTCTTGAAACAATAGGAGTGGTATTGTTAATATTAGAATGACTAACATATAACGTCAACTTGAACAAGCTTATACGGTAAATGAAAATGTGGAATTAATGATTATCAGAATAAATATGGGTAACATAGGATGGGATAAATAATGATATAATTACAATTCAGATCGAATATTTGGTAGAAGACTATATAATGTATGAAGTTATATGAATTCAGTAAGGAATAATAATACTGTTGATGTATGGATGATACTTTCATCATCAGCACTGAAAGAACATGACAGCTTGAGGTTCTGAGGCGATGTAATGGAGTACACCTACCTATTAAGTTTACATTTAAAGAAGAAATTGGAGGTAGGATAACCTTTGAGGATGTTCAACTAGAGGAGAGTGTTGATGGGTTAATAAAAAGGAATCTAGACAGGTAAAGTACCTGAACGAGGTATCACACATGTATCATTGGCCCCGTATTTCTACAACACAAAATAAATCTGATAAAAACTCACAGTTATAGAATACATACCATATGTTGTACGGATATAGTTGGATAAAAACTAAACGCCCTTAGGGAAAATGGATACCGTGCGAACTTTATAAATAAATATATGCCCAGGCTAGAATACTAGAGCAACAAACACCAAATAAGAAATCTCCATTCATTCGCCTATGGTTCAGAGGTAATGCAGCCAGTGAAACACTAATCTAGAAATTACATAGAGCTATCTAGGGAACATTTAGCACCGGAAAATTCGGATAATCTTTTTTACGCTCCTAATGGAGACACTGAGGCTAAAAGATGAATTAGTTAGGATGCACAACTCGTTATGTATTTATCAGTTCGACTACCCCTGTGGATAATTTATTTTGGCCAAAGTTCCAGAAATTTACTTTTTTGTATTCGTGAACACCTCCAAACGTGGCTAAGCAAAGATGTAGTGAAGTCAGTATGCGGTTTAATACCAGACCATTTAGTGCAGACTGGTCATGGTGCCAGCGTAAGTCAATCATTCTCAATAATTTATCCCATTAGTAATTTCCTGTGAACGTCTATCTTAATTAAAGTCCTTCAAACGGTGGAGGTGATAGCCATTTAAATTATAAAACAAGAACTATGCGTGCACATGAAACATATTTAACCCCTTCTCTTACCTTAGCCAACGCCAGGGCCAATGAATCAAAACTAATATTAATTATAGAATGACCTAATTTGACCAATTTACGCAAGACCTTTCTTAGTATTGTCTCTTCATAGTTTTAGTTATGAAATGATCTAAGCTAGACCACCACTCGAAACCTGGAAACAATAGACGGCCATTCTGTCCTGATGGGGGACTCATTAATAGTGTGCGTCCACGACCCTGGACACTGTAAAACTTCGCTTCTAGACCGAGCTGGTATACAACGGTGCTAGTGTCTTATTTTTTTATTCACATATCTTACTACTGGTTCAACATCCCTATCAATCTTTTGAACACATGATTTATTTATTTATTATCAGAAGGGGTTTTGTGGAGATTTTAGTAATTTCAATAGTTGAAATCATGAGTCAATTGAAGCTAGACCACCATGGAAAACCTGGAGGCACTGGAAGGCCGTCTCGTTCTAGTATGGGATTCCTCAGCAGTGCGCACCCACGATCCCGCCCCCCGCAGGATTCGAACCCAGGACCTATCGGTCTTGCGCGCGAGCGCTTAACCATGATTTCAACTACTAATTTAGTTATCTCTTACCTCACTTTATTATTTCTTACTAAATTCATATAACTTCATACATTATATAGTCTTCTATCAAATATTCGATCTGAATTGTAATTATATTATTATTTATCCCATCCTATGTTACCCATATTTATTCTGATAATCATTAATTCCACATTTTCATTTACCGTATAAGCTTATACAAGTTATCACTGCATATTAGTCATGTGGTTTTCAAAAAGCTTGTGAGAATAAGAAAACAATTGACAATCTGGTTTTTATGAATGATATTTGTCACAGATTAACGTCGATTCAGTAAAAACGATGGAATACTAGCTATAAGTTTTGTTCTAGAATGGTACTACTCATCATTGAGTAACCAAATTTAAAGTTAAGATTCGATACCACTGGTTAGTAATCCAGTGTCCCAAAAGTCAAGCTGTCAGCTGGTAAGACAAAAAACCCAGTCCAATCTACCCTGGTTATCAGTGGTACCCAACTGAGTTGTCTCTGTGATAAGTCTCATCCACAACATATCTCAGCTAAAACCCATCAACGATTTTATTCTTAGTTCATTTCAATCTGTGACTAAAATATACAAACAAATTAATCGACATAATGACTAAAACGAAAGTTTGTTACCATGGTGTTAAGGGTTAGGCATTTTTCTTTTGAGCTAAAAATGAGAGATAAGTGATCACATTACTTATATAAATTTAGAACATTTGTAAAGCTAAACAACGCCTTTATCCTAACTTTAATTTATTGAGTTTCCGTGATAGAATTTCTTTCTTTCATTGTTATGATTTCCATGAATTAAAGTTGTAATGATTCTATTTTACGAGTGGTTGTAAAAATAATGCACAACGTTATTAAAGCATTTTCATAAGACAGTATTCCATTTCCATGAATTATGTCGAAAGTATCAACGACTTAGTCTTATTTTTTATCCTTTCCAAGTATCCGTTTGACTATAGAAGTTTTCGAAGTGTAGTTTGCATACAATGGAACCACTGAATCTGTGTTACAGAAGTTAGGTGTAGAATACTAAATAGAAATAACATGTCAACGAATGAGGATGTAATTTTTTTGAGCTCAGATATTGTAAACTCACTGTACTGTGCCGACTAACATAATATAGTTTGAGGAAAAAGTAGGAGTGACTAAATTAAATCAAACCGTCATTCTATGAACTCATTTATTTTATGACAGATTCGTGTAATGACTTGATCCATAATCCGTAGCAGTGGATCAGATTCATTTATTTATCATTTTCCACTAGCTGACTAGCTTAGAATTTGGTTTAGGATGCCACTGATATTATTATTTCAACTCCATAGTTTCTCACCCTGTTCAACCGCACTCTCATTCTGGTGATACTGAGTGTAAGGACTCGGGGAAACAAACATATATCCTAGGTTATAAGAATGAAATCACTTTTTTGACAATGATAATGGTTTTTATGTTTAATCTAGACATCTTTTGGTAATTCATGAAGGAAAGGAAATCAACAAGGACTCAAACTTTTCCGGATAAACTAGAAGAATATGAGTTGAAAAGTTAAGCTAAATACCAAACTATTAAGTGTCTAAATTCTAACGTGTTCATTTCAATATATATATATATATATATATATATATATATATATATATATATATATATATATATATATATATATATATATATATATATATATATATATATATATATATATCGGTAGATACTGATAGACATAAAGTAGTGAGTTGTATAATTCTTTTTTCTAAGCAGTCGGAGAGGATCTCCTCAATAATACATTGAGTCACTTACCTTCATAGAAATATTCGAGGGTTAAACACTTTCTTTGTTTTATTTTTTTGTCTATACAGCATTTTTGGTAGTTCAATTCAGTTGTCTTTAGGTTCATTTGAAACAAACCTTGAATTTTGTTTTTATTGTTGGTGACTTTCTTCGTATACTTATTATGTTTATTTTTTGAGGGTTTATCAATTAGAAGTATTCAATATATTCGTAAATTCTAATTATTTAGCTATCAGATTTTTGGGAAAATATTTGATTTAAAAACAGATTTCATCGTAAACTTTGAGAGCTCAAGGATTTTATAGTTAATATCACGGGATGATCTTAGTTGAATAACCATTATTATCCAAAATGGGTTGGATAGCTGTTTCGTCCTGATAAGGAACAACTTAGCTGTGTAACCGTGACCCCAATATCAGGGGTCGAACCCAGGACATTCAGTTTCTCATACGAGTGCTTATTCTCTATACTACCTAGCCAGCATTTTGTGAGTTATATATTTAGCCTCAGTTTAGTTATAATATCGTGGAACCATCTTCCAATGTATCTTGTGAGTACCTATCTCAGGATTGTTGGATTCCACAAGGCGATTGGTAGTCATCTAGTACTAATTTGGTACACTAGTTATCCCTTATGAAACCAAACTTAAAAACGTATCACATTTAACGGTTACTGATAATCTACTTTACTGGGAATTAGGGATCAGCACATTTCAACTTTGCAATACATAAATACTTTCGTCTTGTAGCATTGAGATTTATGTGTCTCATCACCCTACGTTTTACTAAAGAGACCGTATTTCGTTCATCTTATAATTGACATTTAGTAAAGGAATTAGTACTCAGAATGAGTTTCTACATCTTGGAGCAAATATATCTTACTTATTCCAAGGTGTGCTTTGAAATAGTAAATGATTAAAAGTAGATTGACTGGTATTTGATACATGTAAATTATTATATATAAAATTAACCAAAAGAATTGATTTTTCTATGCGAATAAAATGATATCCTTAATAAAAGAATCTTATTTAATTCCAACAGATTTCTGATCTCATAGGGACTCATTAAAGCAGACTTTCATGCGTTTGACTAGAAAATTGAGAAATTCTTAGAATGAATAATATTCAGTGTTCAGACTCTAGGAGAGTATGTCACGCAGAATTACTGTATTTTGAAACAAGAATTGTGTACATTAAGTGATAAAGATAATTAACAAACAACAAATAGGGTGACATAAATTACAAACGATAAGCCAAAATTCTTTATCTTCACTCAAGGTTTTAAGGCATATGATCACCCATTATTTATTTCACTATGCAATTTTGACCGAAGTAAATGGAAACTGAGAATAGCCTGAGAGTGGTCAAAGATAGATTGTATAATTATTAAAAGTTGGTTTTGGTTTTCGAAAAAACGGCAAGCGTTTTAACCGTGATATAATAGTTAGTGGGACCATTGGGGGGGGGAGTGCTTGGATGAACTTGCATGAAAACCATAGAATCAGCACAGCTCCACTCTCGCTTTTTCTGGCTTCTAAAAAAATTTGTTTAAGATATATCTGTTTTTGCATGGGATCTCGCTCGATTTCTCCGCTGTGTCGTTAAGATCTGGAACCATTCAAAACGATATATCGTTTAACACATATATGTGACTATCGATCCGCTATTAAAAACATCGCTAGTGACAAGGGTTGTGTTTTCATAATTTTAAATTGAATACCAGCTAAATTTGGAGATATAACTACTAGAATATTCTATTTGAAATGCGTTTAAACTTTGATGGTCAAAGTATGTTTCTCACAAACTGATATATAATTTGACGATGAACACAAATGGAAAATACGTTTTGATGAAAAGTTTTCCTTTGAATAGATATCTGGATAATCTATTTTCTCTTACTAATTTATGACGTCCAATTAAAAAGTAGTTATTTTACATTCATATTAACCTAATCAAATTTTAGTTTGGAAAGCTGATATTGAAGGACTAACCTTGTATTGTTGGTCTTTCCATAACCGATATGATTCTCTCAATTTGATTGATTGTCGATGTACCGGGAAATAATGCTTTACCAAGTAACATTTCGCCTAATATGCACCCTAAGCTCCATATATCTACATATTTTGTATAACGATTTGAAGCTAGCAGAATTTCTGGCGCCCGATACCATCTCGTAGCTACATATTCGGTTAACACAGGATTGTCATAATCATCATCTCCATCTATAAATGATTCCATAGATGTTGTACGATTTTCTAGAGTATTTGTCAATGAACGTGTCAAGCCGAAATCACATAGTTTCACCAAACAGTCTGAGTTTAACAGAACATTAGATGGCTATAAATGTAAACGAAAAAGTATATATAAAATAAGCAGTATCAGGATAAATCTTATCACTGACTGAAAGTAACAGGATACCCACAGAGTACTGACTACTTGTTTTATCTTCAACTCAGAAAAATGTCCACAAACTACTTGTCAAAATTTGATTAATGGAATATCCTCAACAGATGGTGATCAGTCAGTGTTAGAACGTTTTACCTTATTACACATAATGATAAAATATATGATGAATAATTTATTTTTGGAAATTATTTAGTCAATAAAATTTGTTCTAAAATGTTTAAAACTTGAGTACTTCATTGTGATATCCTAATTTACTTTTAGTTATTTAAATAAAAATAGAATAAAATGGTATATTCGAAACGTCCCACTAGGAAAAGAAGTGAGAAAATGATATCATATGTCAATAGTTCAGGTTCAGACATTCGTTTCCGAATAAAACAGAAAGTCGCTTTTATAATGGAAACAAGAAAATTGCGCCAGAGAGCAAGAATTAAGTAAGAATATAAAATTTAATATACATAATTCAGAATTAGATATAAAATAAATTCCTTATTATCAACAACTTCATTTATCAGTTAAATGAGGTTGAGGATCACTAAAATCATCACTTGCGTAGGTTTACGCAAAACTAAATACTAGAATACTACTGTTGATCGTTCTTTTAGTTTGAATGCATCTCATAATTTTCCTTTAAAATAGTAAAATTTATGATAGACTAGATGTAAAAGTATCATTAGATAATAGTATAACAGCTAAAACTCAGATACAAACAGGTTTCTGTAACTTTAAATAAATTTAAATAAATTTAACCTCGCTGATCTAAAAATTTAGACGATAACTATAACGATGGTACACTATGAAAACTGAATATCCATAAAATCTGGTCTGAAAGCTAAGATATAATTAAATCAAATGGATGAGCAGTTTTAGGGAAAAAGATATATCTTCCCACTCTGATGAACAAACTGGCATTTATAATTTTGTTTAATATTTGAAAATCTTTAACATAGTATAACCACAACATAACTTATACTGTGCAGTTACGAGCAAATCTTTTTAAAAGAACTTATAAGTAAAATTATATAATTACATTAATGTGTATAAGTAGATATTTCATTTTGCGACAAGAAATAGTATTAAAATAGTCATAAACAGTTAAAGTGCTAGATGATCGAAAAAACGCTAGATAATAAGTAGTTCTGTATCATAAACTGATTTTGTTAAATAATCTTAATTAATGGATCGAGTTTTATACCCCAGTTTTAGAAGTAACTTCTTTGGGAGCAATAAACATATCTTGCGAAAGAGTAAGAGAAAATAGATGGATACTTTCCCGATGATAATTTAGTTTTCACTTATAGTTTCCCGAATAAGACTGATTTACAATGGGAACCATTTTTGACAATTCGCGAAATTTCCCGGTTGTTATATATTTGTTTTACTTATAACAGTTTTCAATTCTACGTCCCCTTTGTTTAATTTTAACAGGCGTCACAATTTATCTGGCTTAAAGATGTGTGAGGAAATTAGACCTCCTAAATCATTTCCTATCTATACTTTCTTTATTGGTCATGAATTACGTCGTCGGACCAAAATTCCATCTGGTATTACAGATAATGAATTGGTAAAGTTACTCGTATCCTTTTTTTCGAATATACTCTTACGCTATCCAGTCAGAAACTAGAATGTCGCCCAATCATAAAGATTCACACTTTTCCTATCGTATACTTGAACACTTAAATTTGTGAGTATGCGAATTCAGCTACAGCTTTATAGCTCATTCTACCTAATTTGGAAGAGAAAGTGGAATATCATGATCACATTTTACAGATTCAGACTATTATGAAGATTATTTAACTCACCCCATAGCCATTCTACAGTTAATGCAGGTCCCAAGCCCGAGTAAAGTAGGAGGGTCTGGTATGGGGTCAGCCACCCCGCTCCATAGAAAACAACGTTACTAAAACACTCTAACCAGAAAAAATAATTCAAACTATTTGAAGTCTATCCTGGCAGTTGGAGAATCTTCATTTAGGAGAATTATGACGTCTCGTGGTGAAAGCCGATATTCCTCTGGATTCACGAGACCGATATCTCTCCTAACGACCAAGCGACAATTAATATAGATACAAGGGATGTCCGGACAATCTTGGAGACCGGGAGGACCAATCAAACAGCCACAGAAATGAAGAGACACAACTTGGCGGTTCTCGGAATAAGTGAAACCCATTGGACCCATGCTGGATAGAAAAGATTAGCTTTGAGAGAAGTGTTATTGTACTCTGGTTACCAAGAAGAAAATGCTCCACACACGGAGTTGCTCTGATGCTGTCCAAAGAAGCACGTAAAGCACTCATAGGATGGGAATATCATCATTCCAGGATCATCAAGGCACCGTTCAAAACAAAGGAGGGGATCACAATGAATGTTATCCAGTGTTATGCACCCACAAATGATAGCAGCGACGACGATAAAGATCCGTTTTACGAGGCTTCAGTCGATCATGGCGAAGTGCTCAGGAAAGGATCTAATCACCCTGGTGGGAGATCTAAACGCCAAAGTCGGAATGGAAAACACCGGATATGAAGATATCATGGGACGACATGGACTAGGAGAATAATGAGATTTGCGAATCTATGTCTATTCAACAAAATGGTTATAGGCGGCACAATATTCTTCCATAAAGGCATACACAAATCTACATGGGTCTCACTGGATCACACTAAGGAGAATCAGACCAATCATAACTGTTTCAATAAAAGCAGCATTACAAACGTTTAGTATAGCCTTGCTTTAATATACTGACAAACTCAACGAATTCAAGATAGCTCTCAATAACAGGCTCCAAGCCTTACAAGGTCGAATCAAATAAGAAGAAACTACTTTGAAGAACGACCGGAAGGCATCATTATGACCATCAGATAAATCATGTGGGCAAGCAGCAAAACCATATAACGCAACACACGAAACACGTAAGACACAGAGGTAACTTCTAAGATGCTTCATGTTCTGTTAAGACAAATTTGGGAGGAAGAGCAATCACCATCAGACTGGAACGAAAGATAAATCATCAGGATACCAAAGAAAGGAGATCTTAGCAAGTGTGGGAACTACAGGGGGACCACACTACTGTAGGTACCAGGAAAGGTTTTGATTAGTGTGTTGCTGAACTGGATGAAAGATTCAGCAGAAAACCAGCTTTAAGATCAAGAGGCTGGATGAATTGGTCGCATACCGATTAAATCGTGTCACTACAGGTTATTGTTGAGGTCGTCACTATTCATCGAATTATTTGACTATAACAAAATATTCACAGAATAGATATAAGGACCTTATCGAATCTCTTTTGACACTATGCCGTACCTGAGAATATCATCATCATCATCATACAGAATTCATACGACAAATTACACTGCAGAGCGGTGCATGGAAGTCAGTTTATAGATCCATTCTAAGTGTAGACCGGTGTCAGATAAGGATGTTTTTTTCTCCCTTTTTCTTCATTCTGGCGGCTGACTGGAGTTCGAAAACCTCCATATCTCAGGCAAAGCACGAAACACAATAGACAACTTGGATGCCGCTAGACGATCCGGACTTCGCAGATGACCTAACTCCCCTGTCCCATGCACAGCAAAAATGCGGGTGAACACAGCCAGTGCAGTATCAACCTCTACAGCAGTAGGCCTTAACATACACAAGGGAAAAGGCAACACTCTAAGTGAACAAGAATGTAAATATGCAGATTGTTTCATAAATTTCTCTAAGGTAAACAAACTTTCCTTTTTCAAATTTGGAAAGATATTAGGAAGAAAATGTCAATTATTCGACGATTCCATCAGTCCAAAATACTTTACAAAATATATTTTTACTGTTAGTTTATACATATACATATTATTGCTGTGGGAGGGTATTGAAGGTTTTAAAAAAAAATAAATAAATAACTTTTAACGTATGAAGAATAAACCGTTTCATGATATGTTCAATGTGAAGAATAACTGGGTCAGTGAAAGGAATGTTGAGTGACAAAATTTAAATGAAAAAATTGGCTTTTGGGCGTGTTCAATTGTAAAGAGGTAATACTTAACCAAACACATATAAACCTTAGTTTTTCACAGTACATATATAAACATAAATAAAATAATGGAAATAATAGAATATTTAGCAGGGTCTTACAAAAATTTGTACACAGTGATAAAAAATGGAATGTAATATAAATAAATATAATAAAGAGTGAGAAACGAAATAAGATTGCTATCAAAAACGATTTATCAATAAAAATGGTAAAATAGAACTTCATACAAATAAAGGTATTAATATCATCACAGGAAATTAAAGCTGACAAACACAGAGTGGCAAATAAAATGTGAGACAGAGGAAAACGAGTAAACAGCGTTGGAGTGGTGAGATATTTGTAAATTATAGAAAAAAGTTGAACCAGTAAGATTAGCTTGTCCTTTTACTTCTTACGACCTAAATATCTAATTGTAAAACCAACACGTAATACAGCCTACAAAGACAGTAATCGAAACTAAAGTTTAGTATTATATTTCGGTCCGGTTGGCTAGAAGTTACATTGAATGCAAACAACTCCAGCATTAGGAACCGTTACGGATTGAAGTAACTGCACAATTTAATTAAATAATTAAAGAAATACGAAGTGCTAATTATTATCAAAATAGTAAAAACAATCAGTTATAGTCTCATATCATTAATTATTTACTATCAGCTATTTGGTTCTAGATTGTATTGTATGAAAACATATGGACTTTATTAGTACCTAATAATAACCATCGCGAAGAAGCCCAAATAACAAGAAAAAAATCTTATCTATTGATGTGAGTGTGTTCAGTCTTTTGTAAACATTTTCCAAATTTAATTGGTTTAGTATTGCCTCTTTCTGTAATGCCGCGGAGTGCAAAAGCTAACAACGGCCTGTTATAATGTAGGGCATCACTTTCGATCTACAAATATCACACAGTAATATAAACAGAGCTAACCAACGCTTGATACGCGTGGGAACTGTTAACAACCAAACTCAACAATTTTTTGATAGGGTTCTTATTGCGGGAAGTATCTTGAATGATGTTGTTTAGAGGCATCTGTCTAAATACCAGGACGTATAAGCAATAAGTTGACTTAATTGAATAAACAAATTTTTTCCATGTTTCATCAGTATAAATTGAGAGGTTTATTTTTTTTCAGCAGTCAGGATTCACGGTCAATCGATAACCAGATTTACAAAGGATCTTCGCTGTTTTCAAACGTTTTGCGCTCAACTTAGTAGCACAATGTTCTAATTCCATGTGAGTCAGTTTTATTATACTTTCAAGTGAATTTCATCTACACATTTAGACATATACAAGAATGTATCTCACATGATTCTTGACTAAATCATTATGGTGTTTGAGAAATAATAAAAAAACGAGTTGTAAACAATTGTATTTTCTGAACTAGAAAGTTAAATCAAATTAAACATAGTTGCAACCTTCTGTCTGAAATAAAATCATTCCTAGATGAAATATAAGGTAGATTTTCTGAATATCATATAGTTAACGTTTATATCTCACTTGATGACTATATATCACGATGAGTCACTTTGAGGCTTGTAATAAAGCATCGAGGTTTATCATTTATTGTCGAGTCTTACAACCTGGCTGAGCTAAGAGCTTTTGTATAGGCGGTTTATTTTACTTTATTAGGCGAAGATATGTTCGAACGACTTGCTTTAAGGTCTATATAAGAGACATAAACTACTACCTAATCAGTCGAGGTTTGTTTTAATTATTTTGTAGAGAATAAAAGTAAATTCGTAGAAACTAAGCATCACCAGTGCCTTGTGTAAAAAGATTAATGGAAACAAGTAGCTTTGGCTTAACCTCTTAAAAAGAAACTGTTATCGGTGTTTTTAAACATTTGGGCAAAACTATTTCAAATCTAAATTTCGAGTAACTTTAAGCATATGGTAAAGATTGTAACAGATAATGCGTGGATCACAGTATTTTAGTCCTTTTCCAATGCAAACGATTTTGAGCCATGTCTTTCAAGGTCTCTAACCATCGGCTGCTATCATCTCGCGGATCCCAACTAAGTGGTCTACATCTACCAACATGGCCCAGTTCAATAAATAAATATGACTGATTTGCTAAGGTATAATGAGCCATTTATTCAAAAATGACAATCAAGAGTTACAGTTTTTTAGCCAATATTTCTGACATATGGAGAAAGTCACTTGGCAATCAAACGGTGAGTTTATATTTCAAATATAAGTGGGACTTGCTGAAAAAAAGAGACAGAACAAAATGTTGTTTGCTTTTACCTTTATACTGGTCGCATTCCGTCCCTTAGCTGTGAGATGAAAAACTGCATTCTAAAATTCCGTGCATTAAGCAATGACTTTTAAAGAAATTATGTCATATTTCTCCGTTGTGCCTGTCTTAATGTATTTGTTTGAAAAAGTTGATCCCAACATTCTGAAAATTCCTACAAAATTAATTTGCATTTGTACTAAAACGAGACTACAAGTCACATAGTTTTTTTTAACAAAAATACATAAAAAACAGCGTCGTACAAAGTTAAGAAGCAAAAGTCGGTTTCAGTAGTAGATACGAGTATCAGACACTGTATGAGACATATGAACTTTTATCTTCACTCCTGAGAAGGGAAAGAAAAAAGTTCATTTTATCCAGTGGAATCAAAAGGTCCGATTTAACAACTCAGTACATTTATTTGAGAAAATAGTTGTTCAGTTGGTAAAAATAATAATGAAGGACATCCATGTTAAAAATAAACGTTCTACATATGTCTATTTCACAGTATATTCAAATAACAACGATTCTTACTGTTTTAAAAGTGAAGTTCGATGAGAAAGTGATATGTGTCAGTAAATAAAATGGCGAAAAAGCAGTATTGAGTGCCTTTATAAAGCGATCCCACAGAATAAATATCATGAGAATGTCTTACCTTTAAATCACGGTGTATTACATTCCCGGAATGAATATATTTAACTGCTCGTAACAACTGGTACAAAATGAACCTTTTATGAACATCTTTCAGAATATTTCCTTTTTTGATGCAGTTATTTAAATCAGTTTCTGTTTTTCATCAAAAATGAAAGTTTTAATTACCCATGTATTCAAAAACTAAGTAAATATCTTTGTCGTTCTCCGCCTTTATAACATTTAAAAGACGGATGATATTTGGGTGATTGGAAAATTGCTGTAAAAATGATATTTCTCGAAACGTCCTCTGAACGACTGGTTAAGATGGTGCTTTATACCTGAGCATCTGTTTGATTCCTGAAAGCATCAAATATCTTTTTGAGTGCTAATTTTTTGTGTGTTTTCTTATTCACCGCTTTCCAAACTATCCCATAAGCCTGTGGATAGTGAGAAAATTATATGCCACAAACCCCTTTTCCTATACGTCTCTCAATCGTGTAATTTTTTAAAATAACTGGTTCTACTTCTAGTTGTGTCATTTTTCTTGCATTTTGATAAAGCGGGAACTCCGTGTAGTCAATAGAAACAAGTTAAAACAACAGTATCATATATTGTTACGACATTTCGGTTCACTTTATTTGTCGTGTTTATGTTCTTCAGGTTAATAACCTCAGACCGCGAGGCAAGTCATTTCAGAAAACTGAATGAATACCTGTCGACAGAATACCAGCAAAATAGTAATTTGTTTCGTCGGATCAGTCTTATTATTTACAGAGTTAAATAGTCAGGTGCAGAAACAAAAAGCTGCCAGGCAGATTCTTTTGAGACTATTCCATTGGTGAAGTCGCTTTGGTTTTTTAATTTACTGTGGATTGATCTGTTTCGTTTTCGTCTTTTCCTTTGCAATACATCAAACTTGTTTGCAATTTTTCAAAATCCAGTGTCTTTTTAACAAGTGAATGTAAACATCTGGTTACACTGTGCTTGCTTCAAGTTGTTTCGGTACATCCTGGGGTCATTCGCAGTGTCTAACGGCCAGTAGTATTTCCGCTCGTCTCTTGTATTTCTAGTCAGTCTGGTTATTTGAACTGTGTAAGAATTCGAAATTGGGGCTATTATTCATGAGTATGACACTCGCTTTGAAAAATTTCTAGGTGTAGTCCACACTGATCTTCAGGCACCTTGTAGGTAATGGTCCTAGGTTGTGGTTTGTGAAGATAAATGGGAAGGGACTTTTACTACAAACGTAACTCTGTTCCTACACGTGAATCTAAATGTTTTTATGTGACAATTTCACGAGTCATATTATTACACTGGCCACAACCTCCTTTTCATTTGTTATGAGGACTGTAGCAGTAAATAAACTCCCAAAATAAATAACTCTGTAAGTTTTCGACATTGGATGCTGACCATATTAGTTTTAATGGAATCACCTAGCTGAAGGCGCCCGGTCATGCATCCGCACCAGATCACCACTAGGAACGCCGTGCTCATCTATTCCCGCAATCGCTAGTCAGATTAGATCGAACGATCCTCGATATACCGATAGCCTATCAAATATATCTTCGAACCTTCTCGCTTCTGTCTTTTGATTTCACTTGGTGGGTACGATTCATATTGGAAGGTGTTACTGGTTAAAGCATTGTCAAACTCCAAATACCTGTAGCATCTTCGGAACCTTTCAGAAGTCGAGTGAATCCTCTTATATTTCCATATGTCTCTATATCCTCACGTATTCAGAGCAGATTAGGACCATTGGATTATTTCTACTAAGAAAGTTATGAATGAAAATTTCGAAGAGAAATGGTTTTACAATGGTTTCGTGTGAAATGACCTGTTTCAAAACAATTCATCTTCCATTCACTCTATTTATCTTGATGCAGAATACCCGGTTTCCCAGAAAAACAACGGGAGTAGGTGAGTGAAAATTGTCTTAGTAACTTTTACTATAAAAGATTATTGTAGTAACGTGTTGAGAGCTTTCTCGATGTTGAGGAATATTACACAGACCGGTATCTTTGATCACAGTAGATTGTTTAACTAAACGCTTGTTGTCTGCTTTTTCTGGGTCTGTGTTGGACTTCATGAAGTTTACTGTCTGCGTCCACGAATACCCTCATCTAGTTATTGCACGTAAATTCCATAATGCAACCGGTCTGTTACAAGTTGTTTCCTTCCCTTCTTCTCTTCTGAAGACTGAATAAAAAAAAGTCTGTGTCCATTATCTTGGAAGTTGCTGAAATTTCGGTTGGTGCCTAGATATGTCAGATATCGGTGTTATGACAGGCAAGACTATAGGTATGAGTAGTTTTCACGCACTCATGATTTTACTGAGCGCAAAAGCCTTGGTTTTCTCAGTTCTAACCCAAGAGATTCATAGATATTCCTCAGACCGTTATCTGGTGGCAGAGTGGAAGTGTGTTTCATGCTTGTAGGTTTCTGGTTTCATTGCGTGACGGAATTAGAATCAGAGACTTCTGTTGCTGCTAGATTGATAATTTCGTCTCCGTAAAGCCACTAAAGTTTACAGGTCTGTTTGTTTGTAAGCTTCCATCTGTAAATGAAATCATGGCTTGTGTTTTAGCTCCCAACTTGGTCTGAAAATACCTCTTGTCATTTCATACCTTATACTGCTCCTGTTTCTTAGTGTTAAGTAGAAGGTCTTATCTGAATTTTATAAGGAAACTTTTCACTTACCCGAGGCTCTTTTTGTACACAGGTGTTCTGCTCTTCACTTCAGCCTGGTTGTTATCTGCTTGGGCACGTGGTTATCTTGATACACAATATAATCCCCACATAAAATAAGGAAGTTATTAATTCTCACTTCCAGGTATTATTTTTTCTAGCAGCAGTTTACTGGCTACTTTTGTATCCTTTGTCTACCACAGACGTTTTTACTATGGATTCCTGGAAATATCCTACACGTTATCTCATTAGTTATCCTCATTAGACGTTATACGTTCTGTAGATCTTCATCAATGCTTAAGATATTCTCTTTTAGCCATATGGTCTCTAATATGTAACAAATGTTGGGAAAATCCTCGTCTTTCTGGAATATATTGTTTCTGATCATTTTAAAGACGGCTGTGCAGTGACTACTATCTACATTAGTATCCGAACATGAACATATGTAACCAGAAGCTGATGATTTGATAGAAAGTGATCTGAGTTTGAAGATTTCCCCTTTTCCCCTGATCACATAACATCGCTTAAACGATGGTTTTGACGACCTGTTTTTGAGACGAACGCCCTCCTCTGTGATATCCACAGACGCAGCATTGGGTTTCCGTGCCATGAGTATCTGATCAGATCACAGGTATGGTTGTGGTGATTACAGCCGGAGTACTTTTTCCAGTTGGATGGAAGTGCCTGTGGAAGGGTGTTATGTTCCTACAATCATTTAATTGATGCCTTTCGAGATAGAACAAAGATAGGAAGACTTCGGCAAATGGACTGTTCGAGCAGTAAGTTGTATTGTGATAGTGAATGCATATCACCATTTGACTACCTGTTTAATGTTCACTATCACGTATGAATATTGTCATGCCTTTCATCTACACCTCATTATTCGTGATACCATAGTGTTATTGGTTCCTAACTATAAAATTATCGAAGCCAAACATATAATAGCTGTGAAGATTGACATTTAAAATGTAACATTTGGAGGAGGTCGGTAATGGTGAGGGCGGGAACTATGATCACAATTTACATGGCTCAACCATTCAGGCGTGGTCACTCTATATAAAACCTATTGTATATTGTGCTGAGTATACTGCTCTATACCCATCCATATTGCGTTCATTAGAAATATTTAACACCATATTGCTGATTCTTATGTAGGACGAGTCAGTTTAGACAATGGCGTAAGATCTCATAGGTTAGGTTTTCACACCATGTAACATTTACAATTTTTGGGTTAGGTCTATTTTTACGGTAGCAAATGTAAACATACTAATACCTAAGTAGACTGTAATTCTACGACTTGAGTGACGAGCTAGGTTTTATTTAGAACAACAATCTTTAGTTCAACTTAGAAACACGTTTTTCCTATTACCCATATTTTCCTTTATATACCTTTAGGTTGCTTACTGACTGTCGCATTTCCCTTTGTTATTTTATGGAAGGATCTGTTTACGAGGTTGTAAACAGACTACAGTCTGGAGCAGGCTGTCCAGTTCTGTGTGAACTGTTTAATATCACTTATTTTCTCATCAATCGAGCTGAGTTGGTAAATGTAAGATCCATTTTGAATGTTTTGTGTGTGAAAATCCCTCCATGTATACACTTGCAGTTTGTTCCTATTTATTCCTTCAGTTGTACATTTTGTTAGTCTTTTTGATTCCATTTGGGTTGGTAATATTTGTATTTTATTATAGTTTTTATTTTTCCTACGCCTTCACTAAGTTTCCGTGTTTCTTTCTGAACTGCATTCATGTTGTTTTACTTGGTACTTAGCCTTGTCAGCAGCCATATTGGTTCGTTCCCTCTTTTGATTGTGTTGCTTGTACTGACTGGAATTATGCTTTTTTGATTGTGAATTGAAGTACTGTTCCAGAATTGGAATTGTTATAAAGCAACCAAGTATTTTTTTTGAACGAATCTGTGCGTGATCTATCCAGACAGGATAGAATAACATTTGTTTGTTGTGATTGGTAATTTTCACGCATCTTTTACCAACTTCCTTATTTATTGTAATCCAGATTTGATTAATTAAACAATTATTGGTTGGTTAACTGGGTGGTTTTATTTGTTTCGGTAACAATGTACATTTAAATTTATGATGAATTTTAGAACCGTCATTTTACCCAATCACTTTGTTTTGGTTTCAACCGGGCAAGAGCGCGTATCTAACTCACCTTGACAGCAATTCTTCAGTTCAAACCCTAGCTTGGATCTTACAACTTAGGTGTATTGTCGAGGTTGACTAGACTTAAATGAGTTTCTTGGGTTGCTCAGCTTTTTGTGTACATTAGCTTCCTCTGAACAATTACCTAGGCACTCAGATACGCAACCGACTATCATACTCGTCAGTTCTTCAGTATTACTGATGATTTGCTTGCGGCAACTTTTATAGATTATATTGCGATACGTTTACGTCCGATGTCCGATGACTATTTGACTGACAATCTTTAAGACATCAGTAGGGTTTTGTATTCCGACACAAGAATCACCTTTTCTTTACGGCGTTTTATGAACTTGGGACTTATTCCATTGAGTTCTGCAGATTTTCTTGTTTTGTGTGTATTTTATAAAGCAAAGATATCAAACACTGTAATGGTTACAACTCCCAGAGTTGGTACTGGAGGATGTGTTTGCTCCCGAGGGAAGGAAGTATTTACAGCCCATGACCATTTTGCAGTGATAGATAGCAACCTAAGAGGTCTAGATTGATTTA